GATTCGCACTGTGTAAGTTACATTTTTGTCAGTGGTGCATTTCTTGTAAAAATCATTACAAAAATTTGATAAAAAAATTTTGGTTTGCAGGAAAATTTTTGGAAATTATTTAGAAAAATTTTGATGTTGGTTGATTCACTGTTTTAGAATTATCATATACATCAAGTTCTGTAAATATAAACTGTCTATTTACTGTAAAATTCAACATTCAATATATTTTATGTACTTAGTACAAGGTACTGTAACTATACCATTTATATGAGGAACAAAGTAAAAAAAGGGAAAACACTGAAGCTTTCTCCAATAACAAATATTCACTTTTATAACACACTGTTGCCACATTACACAGGAAACACTTTCAGAGAAAAAAAAATTGTTTTATAGGTGTGAACGGATATGCATTTCGAGGGTTAACGTTCCTCTTCAGCCCTGAGATAGTGACAGTTAAACCAACATGACTTGTAAAAAGATATACAAGTAGTTGAACAAGGAAAAAGGAGCTATTAATTTTTTTGGCTCCACACACATACATATTAGGATTATATATGATGTGCTGTAGGGTGTGAAATAATTCTGATGAGATGTACAGAGAACATAGACATCTTGTTTGTGTTCTCTACATCTCATTAGCATAATGAATACATAAAAAATAAAGGCAACAAACATATTTATTTGCCAATACACAAACACGATCGTTGCAGCAAACTCCTAATTGCTTTTGTTAGAAATTTCATTGCAGGTATTTACAGAAAAAGCTCTCTCATATATAAAGCAAGAAGCTTCACAAGTAGGTTGCTTATGGAGTCTTTAGAATGCTTAATCCACAACCAGATATCTTCTGTATAGTATCTTCTACGTACTCTTGTTGCTTAGCTGAGAATTGCATTAACGTTACCATTTATGTTTAGTTCCATAGAAAGCTTCGTAATGAATCTGAATCGAACATAAAGTTTATTTGCATCGCGCAATTAATACTAGAATATATCCCTACGTTTTAAAAATATAGGATATGTACTTTTGTACTGTAAAATAAACAGACACAATACAATACAATACAATACAAATACAATAAAAAAATTAGAATTTCAGTGACAGCCTTGTCACTGAAATTCTAATTTTTTTATTGTAGTGTAGGATCTACTAACACTTGTCTTTATCTTTCACCCGCGACCCCCGTGTAAGACTTTGGGACCCCTTTGGAAGTCGCGACCCACAGGTTGAAAAACACTGCATTAGAGAATAAACGTGGAACATTTTTTAAAAATGTTCTCTAACAATTTTTTCATTTCCGTTTCGGAAAAAAATTTTTACACAGGTACGTCTAGTAAATAAAAAATCGTTCTTTATTGGCACATAATTTCCTGTTGTGTGAATATTTTGGGCGGTAATATTTGTCTAATTTTTTTCAAATTTATAATAAATTCTGTTATGATTTTTCATACATTACGATTTTTTCAGAAGTTTTCAATTTATTTTCAATTTTATATAATTTTTTAAAGTTTCATGCATTTAAGTCATGACAATTTTTTCTAACCAGCGAATCAAATTCAAGAAAATGTAAATGACAATTAACGGATTTCATCCACGCTTGTAGATGACGTAACGGCTGTTGTGTTTACAACTACGACGCCTGGCGGCCTTACCCCCCCGGATNGAAGTTTTGAATTTATTTTTAATTTTATAAATTTATTTAAAGTTTCAGGCATTGTAGTTATGACGATTTTTTCAACCTCCGAATCAAATTTAAGAAAATGTAATTGAAACTTAACGAATCTCAACCACGACGTTAGATTACATAATGCGCAGGCCACATAAATCCATTAAACGGGCCGGATCTGGTCCGCGGGCCGTATGACCGTAAAAAAATTATATATATATATCAATATATATACTGAAACTGTCTTACTGACAGTGTATACGTATATTCGCAAATTTAGGAGATTAGGTGATCACTATTAAAAAAATGTGTAAAATCTTTATTTCTGATCAAGACTGCTAAAGCTATTCAGTTTGTACCTGACATGTTTTTCTAAATCCTACATAGAAGCAGAAGAGCAATGGAGATAGGTTTTTTACATTGTCGATTCTTCTGATAGGTTTTAATTAGACGAGAGATTGTGTCTACTAATAGTATTATTTTATTGTATACTTCAATGAAAACATTTTTATAACACTTTTTAATTTAAAAAATATTCAAACTCAGTCCGAAATATTAACTTTATTGAGTACTTTTTCGTAATCAATATATATAAAGCAAAACCCGTCGTGGGTTCGAACGTCAGTTTCTTATCAGTGACAAAGGGAAGAACCAAAACAGAAGTGACAATTCCAAAGTAGTGCAGTGAGTGAATAAAAACAAACAGTGAAGTGTGAATAGTCAAAGTGATACAATAACTGAATATAGATCGAAAATAAAGTGTAAAAACTGTGTAAAGTGTACTTAGTGTATTTGTTAATAAAAAGTTGATTTGATTTATATTTTATACAATGCCCAAACTTAGAAAATAAGGAGCTCTTGCCAGTTCTGAAGTTTTTTAGTATTAAAGTTGATATCGTAGACAATATTATTATTAGTTGCCAAATTTGCCCTTTGAAATCGCCACTCTGAATAATAATAAGAGCAGAGCCCAAACGGTGAGGAGTTGAAGGTTGAAATTCCGTACACAGTCAGTATGCGTCATGAAAACGTACAATAAGAAGTGATTTTTTCGAAATTCTCCCATGGCAGAAAGGGATAAGGTTAAGGCTTCCCATGAACAACTCGGCTCTTCTACTATACTATTTTATATGCTGTTTTTTGCGTTTTTTATTACGTTTTCATAGGGCACGTCACGAAAATGTACACGAAGAAAGGATTTTTCGAAATTCCAACCACAGAGAAGTGCTAAAAATGGAAGTGGTTAAGTAACAATGAAAGTCTTAAGAGAAAGCGATATGCAAGATTTACAGGCGCATATGCGATTTTTTGCGTTTTTGCGGAAAATCGAACATATTTTTAAACATATGTAAAAATTCTCTAATTAGAATGGGGACTTAATTCTTGCATTCAGCGAAAACGGATAAGATTGGCTATAATGCAATTTTATTGTTAATCTAAAATGTTTTCGAATAGTCGAGAACCATTATGTGTGAGTAGTGGGAATGGCTTTTGGAGTCGTGTGACATTTTTCATATGTAAAAGTGTACGAATAACAGAAAAAAGTAGAAAGTGAAAAGTGAATAGCGAAGTGTAAAAAGTAAAAATAAAAAAAAGCTAAAGCGTAAGAAAGAATTTTTGCGGTCTCGAATCATATCTCAAAGGCAAAAGATGGCGCGGAGAAATGAAACAACGGAAAAAAAAAGTACGTCTAACATTGCTACGAGAAAATTAACCACGAAACAGAAATAATCAGACAGAAGAGCAACTTGATAATTATAGGGAAACACATCGAATCAGAGAAAATTTATGTAGAGGAAAAGNAAAAAAAAAACTATATTACATACAAATGTACGAACAAATAAAAACGCAGCAAAGCGGGTCCTTGCAGCTAGATTCTAGATTGCTTAGAAAAACAGTATTTTTATATATAAAAAACAAAAACTATATTACATATAAATGTACGAACAAATAAAAACCCAGCGAAGCGAGTACATGCAGCTAGTAAATAAATAAATCAAAAATATCTAAATTGTATTTTTCTTCTTTCATGTATTTAAAAGTGAATGTTTAGTTTCTGCGCAATCTATTTTCGCAATCTATTTAATTAATTAAACTATGAAATTTTCTACGGTTTTATGCACTTGCAACTGGTAGGTAAGCGCTTACTTGAGTAAAAATACAAGTAGTATTTTTCAAAAGTGTTTGTTTCTGGTAATATATATCAAAATGATTTTCTGTTTGGTACAGACTTGTTAATTAACTAGGAACTTTTAGTAAAGACATGCTTTCAATTTCAAATTTCCCAGCAGTATCCAAGAAAATAATTTTCTGCTTTTACACTTGACAAATTTGCCATGTGAACATTTTCGAGTAAATTGAAGTGTCTCAATCCTAAATACAGTCTTATCAAGATGCATCCTTGTACGCACATAGCCCATGTGATTCGCTAGGATTATTTTATACATCTAATCTAATGTTCTACTACTGAGAAATTTTGCATTAAATTCACATAATTACAATTTGAACAGAGGTAGAATTTTCTTTATGTTGTTATTATCGGTTTATAATTAAGTTAATTTATATTTAACATGGAGCAAATTAGTAAGTGTTTTCTCGCCTGTATTATCGGTACGAAGTAATTCAATGATAATAATAAGATAACCAATAACAAATTTTCAAATAAGCTGTAACATTAATTTTCGTTTATTTCATACACCTTATAAAGTGCACATGATCACAAATTGTGTTTTACAATGAAAGAAACTGCGTCTGAATATTTTGAATATATTATACGTTTATTTATGATATATGTAATTAACGGGTGATAAATTTTACATGAGAAAAATAGGGTTATTTACGGTATGTAAAGTTTATAAATATTTCAAATACACTGATTTATCTAACAAAAATATTTCTAAATCCATATTAATTTCGAGAAATTTTCCATGCAATAGAAGTGATTCTATGAAATTTTCGCTATATTTTTCGCATTTATCAAATTTACATACTGTGATACATTATAAAGTTTGAAACTGTAAAGTTAATTTTTATATATAATTATTGTTTTAATAAATTACAATACTTAGAATCAGTTAGTATATATATATATATATATATATATATATATNTAAATATATATATATATATATATAATAATAATAAATTCGAATTTTTAGTACGTAATGCGAAATAGAATTTTGTACTGTCTAGAATAAAATTAGGAATATTGAATTACTTAAACTATGCTCTGTTCTATCGAGTGTAATTAATAGAGAGAATGAAAAAAATATATAGTTTTTTCTTCTCTGTGTTTAAATGATCAGCATAATTATATATAATAGTTAAATTCTATAATTTTACATTAGTAAAGTGGATTACATGTAACAATTTTAATTACTTTAGTTAATATTATTTCAATGATTAAGAAGATTAAAGACACTACATATCCAACGCCCATAAGTAACAAAGGACTTTTAATATCTTCAATTGACAACGGTTGAAATTCTGATTCATCTTGGAATTCTTCAACTTCTTGAAAATACAATTTCTCAAAAATTCCAGCTTCAAACATGCGAGTTACCCTAAAATAAGAATGTTTTAATTAATATACAAAAAAATCTAAATTTTGGTATGATGTATAAATTTTTACGTGTTAGTTAAATCCTTCTTAAATGGAAAATTCTTTCTGATTGGATAAGCCATGATATATGTACGAAAAGAATCTTTGGACATTACATATTTATGCTTTTCTATTTTACTGATGTACCGATTTAAGGTACGTTTAGTCATTATGTATGCAAATCGTTCATTCTGTGCCTTTTTAATGCCATTTTTCGTACCCATGAAGTTATTATTAGAGAGAATGTTTTCTCTTATAATTTTAATGTTTTCAGATTTTGATTCCTAGAATTAATAATTGTATTAATATAATATACGATACTTATAATGAACAAATACTGAAATTGAAAAAAATATACTGAAAAAGACATCTTTCCATATAGAAAGTATAAATCTTTAAATGCAAAATACTTACCATCATCTCTTTCCACAGAAGAAATTCCTTATATGTTCCGCATGAGTACTCACCGTTGCGGACAAAATCAGCAAGTTCCTGAATATCTCTTGGATAAGACTCAGTTAAAGGACATGTCATAAAAGACATTAACGCTCCGCTGTAACCGGATAGCAAAACAAGAATTGACAATAACCAAATTCCTAACACGAATCTGGACGCAAATCTTTTCACTTTGCTTAGATTCAATCCTAAATTGAATTAGAAAGAGTTTTTCTTTATAAAACTCAGAGTTTGAATAATATCATTATTAAAGAATTTTACCTTCACCCAGTAATGTACAAACTAAATTCCAAAAAACTGTACGTAGAGTCCATCGTTTTCCTGTTTTAGCAGCGACAAAGTCCTTCTCTAGCACTTTATATAGCGTTAGTCCAAATATCAAAACAATAGAAAAAATAGCGATCCAAACCTGATTTCATAAAGTATAACTTGATATTTAAGTTTTAATTATAGTTTAGGAATTGTTATTGTTACTTACATTTAAGGTAAAAGGCTTCGTAACAGAATTCCAATCAATAACCTTATCCGGAGCTTTAATAAGAAAAACTGTAGGATAAAAAGCAAAAACTGACGTAAAGTCCATTGCAGAGAAGCGTTCTTGGGTAACTCCTACAGGCATAAAGGCTACATCTGCTACCTGAATTAGAAAATTAATTATAAAGTCATAATAATATGTTCTTTGAAATGTTGATTCTTAAAGTATCAAATTAAATTGTTGTGCTGTTTAAACCGTTATACATATTTTATTGGTTTTTAAGGCTATTGTAAAATTAAGATGTCGAAAGATTGATACTAATTTGTTTTCAATTCCGTCAATCTGAAACCCAACAATTAAATTTCGTGAATATTTCATATCAAATATATTCAATATCTGTTGAGATTTTAGTAGCAATAAATGCCCAGTTCACTGGTTATTAATAATTACCTTTCTACACTGTTTAGTGAAAATATAAAACATAGATTATATGGAATGATCTATTACTGTCTCTTAAGGCCCTTTTACTAGATACTTCAGAAAACAAGCAATAGAACGATTAACTATAAAACGAATGAGAATTCTGGACAATTTTACAGGCAATAGAGAAGGAAAGGAAGAGTATTTAGACATTATAATATATTTAAGGTGGCTGAAAATTGCATATAAAGATAAGTACGAACCAAATGTGTAAATGTCGCAGTAAGACTAAGAAAGCAATGGAAAATAATGTGAAAAAAGTAACAAGTGAGGCATTACGTAATTTTGAACGGCATGGGGAAACACAATGTACATATACTTTTTTATGAAAAAGTGCGTGAAAATATATTTATTTTAATTTATACCCTTATATAAACTAATTTACTTATTTGAAACTAATAATGTGCACTACATATAATACCTTAATGCTATCATCTTTGCTGACTTTTTTTGCAATTTTTAATATTTCTGCAAGGCGAGAAAGCACTACGGATTTCAAGTAAATTATTTATTTTATGACTATACTAAAAATTTAATATAAATTCTGTTTGTTATATGTTTGCCAATATTATCGTGCGTTAAATTATTCTGAGAATTTTTGGAAATTTGATATTTCATACTTTTTTGAACGAGTTTCATGAGTCCATTAGTGGCCGAATGGTTAAATCCATTGAACACTGGTTAAATTAATGGTAATCGGTTAGTCCTTAGCCAATGGGCTGGCCACATTGAGTTTTACGTGTTTTCTTTATGTCAGTAATATCTAAATAAGGCGATTTTCTATTAAAACACCTCCAGAAATTAATCTATCGATGTCAGATTGCCCATGTGTTGTGTTGCTCTATAGAAATACTCCAAACCAACTTCAAAAAACCGTGTTAAGTGTTACTTCTGGGTTGTATAAAAAGGATTAACATAGACTCAAAAATTTGATATTTTTGTAAATAGTCTAAACTACAATTATGAAGTATATGTATATAAGGTGATTAGCGTAAAAATATGTGTAAAATTTTTATTTGTGACCGGGAATAGTAAAGCTATTAAGTTTGTACCTGAAATGTTTTTTTAAATCCTACTTAAAAGTTCAAAAGCAAAGGATATAAATTAATTTCATTGTCAATCCTCCTGATAGTTTTAATTAGTTTGCAGACTTTGTCTATTGCTCTTTAATTGATTGGATATTAACTTTATTGAATTCTTTTTCATAATAAATAAATAATTCAAGGATTTCTAAATTGTATGTTTTTTTCTTTAATGAATTTTAAAGTAAATGTTTAGTTTGTGCACAATCTATTTTTTCAATTTATTTAAACTATGCCTGTTATGATTTAAATAATGTATATCTATTAAATTTTTACTTTATTTGCACATAATCTATATTAATATTATAAAGACGTAATGTTTGTAAGTTTGTATGTANTGCCTGTTATGATTTAAATAATGTATATCTATTAAATTTTTACTTTATTTGCACATAATCTATATTAATATTATAAAGACGTAATGTTTGTAAGTTTGTATGTACGGGTAATCTCCGAAACTACAAATCGGATTTCAAAAATTGTTTCATCAATATTTATAATTGAACTCCAGGTTGGATATAGGCTCTATATTATTCCGTAAAAGATTCATATAAATTAAAAGATATCATCTAGGGTTAAAGCTTTTATGTTTCACAGATGGCGCTACGAGTACGACGAACTAAGTTTGCTTTTCTGTGGAAATGAACTAAAGCGAATCATCTTCTATCTATCTATATAAATAAAAATGTAATGTTCATTTGTTCCTACCGATTCTTTTATAAATTTTGACACAACGCTGCATTCGAATATGCGCGTTTTTATATAATATACATGTTGAAATTCCCCCCACTGAAGGCAGATGGTTACCGTAAACAACTTTGCTTCTATTTATACTATTTTATATGCGGTTTTTTTGCGTTTTGATTGCGTTTTATTAGGGTACGTTAAACGAATGTACTGTACACTAAGAGATTTTTCGAAACTTTTCTTCGGGGGAAGCGTTATACATTTATAATAGATACATTTTCAGCCACACCAATGCGTGGCAGGGTCTGCTAGTACAGTATATTAGTGGTTCATTTTGTTTTCAGATATAACCATACATTGTTTATAATCAATCAAAGATCAGGCAGTGACTGCCAGAGCTCATTACTGACTCCTCCTCTGCCATCGAACTAATCTGTGGCACCAAACTCCATCCCATAGCCACATCCATCCGGCACTTAATCCTTCACTCCAGCAACTCATACCATATTACTTGGACCCGGTGGCACCAGAACACAGAGGGAAATGTGCCGGCTGATCAGCTGGCGAAGGCCGCGGCTGTTAATGACTCCCTTATCATCATCTACAACAAAATCAGTCACGACAAAGTGAAAAAAATTATGTACAAGGATGTCTTAAGTCGCTGGCAGTCATCCTGGTCTCAACGACACAACGAAACCAACTACAAGTATATTCCTAACATTATCGACTACCACGACAAATACAAATCGGTGAATCCTGATTATCACCTCACGCGGGGTGTAAAGCTAGTTCGCCTCCTCGTGGTGCACCCTGGATAACGTCTATTCGTGAACTAAATGAGCTAGCAACTTTTGGCGTCCAAATAATCCATAGGATCTCCTGGACAATACACATCTTTTTCTTTAACTATTTAAACTACTTATGTCTTCTCATTACAAAGACCCTTCTAAGGGTCATAGTACCAAAGATCTTGGTCCTCAACTTAAGATATGTCAGATTAATATTGAAGGCATTAGTCGAGCAAAATGCCAATACTTACATAGAATCCTAAAGGATAACGAAATTGACATAGTTGTAATTCAAGAGACTCATACTGAGAATGAATACCAACTTCAGAAAAGAGGTGTGATTCCTGGTTTTGAACTAATTGGTTCAACCTACCACAAAACATACGGCACTGCAACATATGCCCGTAGTGACATTGAGGATGTTCTGTTTTGTAAGGCAGCCACTGACGATAACATTCATGTGGTTACTATACAGGTTGGACAAATTACAATCAGCAATATCTATAAACCCCCAGCTATAACTTGGCCACAACACGTCTTACCACATTTACCCCATCCTGCTGTCTACTTGGGAGACTTCAACAGCCACCATGAATGCTGGAAATACCGTGACACTGATAAAAATGGTGACATGGTATTTAAATGGGCAGAGGAAAATAATCTTTATCTTCTGTTTGATGCTAAAGATCGATGCACCTTTAGGTCCAGCGCTTGGGGTTGTGAATATAATCCTGACTTGTGCTTTGTGTCTTCAGATAACAATAGACAACCGTTATCAGCTACACGAACANTAGCATACGAAAACTAAATAATGGCCTACCTCAAGGCTCTGTCCTGGCACCACTGCTTTTTAGTCTTTACATAGCTGACTTGCCTCAAACAAAGGCAAGGAAATTTGGATATGCAGACGATTGGGTGATTGCCACGAGACATAAAGACCTTGCAATTACTGAAAAGATCCTGACAGAGGACTTATCAACCTTAGGACAATATTTTCGCCAGTGGAGACTTCAATTGAGTAAAACAAAAACTGAAGCTTCATGCTTTCATCTTAATAATAAGCTGGCAAATGAAGAATTAAAGGTTTACTTTGACAACAATTTATTGAAACATAATATGAACCCGAAATATCTTGGCGTCACTTTGGATAGAACTTTATCTTTTAAAACACATCTGATGAATTTAGCTGCCAAGGTTAATACCAGAAACAACATCCTCCAAAGACTATGTGGAACTACATGGGGTTCTTCGCCGTCCACCTTACGGATCTCTGCTCTTGGCTTGGTTTTCTCTGCAGCAGAATACTGTGCACCGGTATGGATGAACAGTGCTCACATTAAAAAACTGGATGCCCAACTAAATGCTACTCTACGTATCATAACAGGTACTATTAAATCAACTCCTATTCACTGGTTACCTATTTTGAGCCATATCCCTCCATCTGCACTCCGAAGGGACAGCACTTTGCTCAGGGAATATAGGAAAATATTGTCTAATCCACAACTTCCGATCCATCAGGATATTGATGACCTCAACATAAATCGACTTAAATCAAGACACCCTCCTCTTATAAGAGCTAAATCCCTGCATTCCAATAATTTCAACCTCACTGAATCTTGGAAAAGGCTCTGGGCTGATGTCTCTCCGGTGGACAGTCGACAACTTCCTTGTATCACAAAGCGACCACCTGGATTTGAGTTATCCAGAAATCTTTGGAGTGTGTTAAATAGGATTCGGACCAAACATGGGTTGTGCAGGGACAGTCTTTTTAGGTGGGGAAAAGTTGCATCTCCACAGTGTGACTGTGGTGCTGAAAGACAGACTATACATCATATCTTGGAAGATTGTCCAGTAAGATCTTTTCCGGGACAATTGAGTGACTTCCTGATTATGACTGAAAGTGCTTTAAACTATATTTCTAACTTAGACTTACATTTATGATTTGTGTTCTTACTTTTTTTGCTTTCTGTTCTTGTTAACAATTACATGTGTAGCCATACGCTAAATAAATAAAATAAATAAATCACCTCACGCAGTTCCTTACAGACCACGGAAAGTTTTCAAACTACCTGTACAGATTTACCAATAAAAGTACCCCCTTTGTGCCATATGCAGCCAGACAGATAACTCTGACCACCATTTATTCAGCTGTATCTCCCTTCAGACCGAAAGACTTGCCATCAAAGTGACCGTCCAAAGTATGAATATCCATTGGCTCTGCCAACACAGTTACCTTCTAAAAAGTAAAATACTTTTCAAGGTACTTGTAAAGAAACATAAGGCAATTGCTTCTCTTGCCACTAGCAACTATACAATCTGTATATACTGTATTGTATTGTAATATATTTTACTGCTTTCAGCTACAACCCACTTTTCACTGTACTCCCCACACATTACTAGATGTTACAATACTGTAATTTAATACCTTATACTTACTTTACTGTATCTTTTTGCTATTTGTATATACGGCAGTTACACTCGGCTATGCTTAGCGGTACCGAGTATGTATTGTACCAATACGTTAATAAATAATAATGTAATGTAAAAAAGTGACTGCCAGAGAATCTTCGATCATATTCGTTCGTTACTCTATATAATTTGATTTGATTCTTGACAACCATTCATGTTTGGGGCGTAATGTTTAATTCTTGTAGTAGAATGATAAAATATTTACATTAATGTCCGTAATTTTCGTGGCTTATAGAAATTATCTATTTATTATTATTAGAACTTTCAGTTTAAAATTAGCTTTCTACACATAAACTTATTTTAAACACTTGAATTTTATGTTTACTCACCTGGTATGCAATTTGTCCTGTAACTCCGTACCACTTACCACTTTCATCTTTATATCCTAATGATTTTTCTATCGGATGCACTACAAAATAACTATTTAAATGTTACAATTACATATAAGCAAAATAATTAACCTGAGAAATACATAATTTAATGTCTTATAATTTATATTTATTTAAAAAATTTTTTTAAACTAAGATTAAAATGTTTAAATTTAGCATAATGTAAAAGATAAGAGAATTTTACTATACGTAAATCAACCCAATACTTTTAGAACAAGATTATACATATAGTCATTCAAAATAATATTTAATAATATGCCGAAATAAATATAATTTTTATTGATATAATTGTAAAAACTGCAGCTATTTAAGTGAATTAGGATATGTGGGAATATTATGAAATGTATAATAATTATACAATTTTACTATAACATTCACGAATATCAAATTTGCTTAATTTTTCGCAGTCATGCTGTATATTTTGACAGCTGTTAGTAGCTTTTATTTTTGTATAATTTGTTGTTTTTTGCGTTCTGAGATGCATGTTTATTTCCTCTTTTATCGCACTTTTCTTTTCCTGTAGATTCCACTGTAAGAAATCTCTACAAATATCTGCGATCATAGTCTCATTTTAGAACATAATCTAGTTTCATATGATATGTTTTCCGTATTTATATACGTTTTTGTACATTGATTAATACATAAAATCCATATGATATAAACGAAAAACGTTTAGATAACAAAATTGTTACTGAAGCTTTGTATTACATTTAAATGCTTTTAATTTAAATTTACGATAATGTATGTGAAAGTCCGTTTAATGTAGTATACGTTAACAATTTCTGATGCTTATTTTACTTCACACATTTTTAAACGTCGTGATTTGGCAAACGAAAATTTTTTCTTGCATCATTTAAAAAACCATGTAAAACTCTTGTATGAATTTTATGACAACTTTTTTACGTTTGTCTCTATGAAAATATGAAGAACATTTTCATTTGTCTACAATAATGATTCAGTTCATTTTTTTTTATTATACTTTCAGCTTTAATCCTTCTTGATTACCTTTCCTTTTTATACAATAGCATCTAATACCACAATTGTATTTTTTTCCTGATTGTAAACTTACTTTATAAAATTCAACAGGAAATAAAATAATTTATCAGCTTTTTTATGCTTGTATTGTTGTTTTTCACGTTTAATTTTTTTTCAAGTTTTAAATCAATTTTCAGAGTGCTTTCAATTTTAATACATAATAGATACATCTGCATAACTGTGTAACTAATATTTTTTACATATTGAAGAGAGAAAAAGTTTAAAAATTTAAATATTTTTACTAATGTAACAAGTGTTCATAAGGTCACATATTAGAAGCATGCTAAACTATAGTAACATTAGCATATTTTTCTGCTAAGAACTGAGAAAAAATTTAATAAGATGGCCTTTTGCTGAGACAACCTACATAAAATCATTGATAAAAAAAGACAAACACAAAAAGAAACAACACATAAATATAACTTGGTAATAAGATAAAAATAACACTATAGAATACAAATATAAAACGTTACACGCTATTCCGTTAGAAAACTTTAGAAAAAGGAAACAATACATATACAAGCAATATGCTTCGAAAAATATGTCAAAGTATATACATTGCAGATATGTACTCAGAAAATCAAAATATCTCTAAACTGTTCATTCAAGAAAACAAATATTTTGCGAACATCTTGCCTCTCATTCCAACAGACTTTTCATATTTTGTTGCTGAAAAATAAATAGACTTTCATTGTGAAGACACTGGTTACAAATAATATATTATATGTATTTAATTTTTAAATAAAATGAGGACCACTAACATTATAATCATGACTTAGTTTAATCCA